CACTGATTTCAGATTAATGATAGTCTAATGTCCGACAATACCCTATAATGCTAAAAGTTAACAGGAAAAACACTTAGGTTATCAAACGGTGGTTTTACCCCAAATGCTTCAGTTCTTCTGTATTATATATACTACAAATTTTCTTACTCAGACGCTTGACTCTATCGATGGCGTCAAAATGATCTCGTATTATATTAACAATTTCTCCATCTGAAATAGTAACGAAATCTCCCAAGTCAGTCTTCCATTTTTAAGCATTGAATGTAGATACCTGTTTATATACTGCTCAGTTCGCTGGTATTATCTCTCTAATAAGCAATTTTTACTGTTATTAACGATCATCACCATTATTCTAAAATATACTTCTGATAGTATACGTAAATATGATCCGATGAAAAGTAGTTAATTGCTTATAACGGTCTTTGATCAATAGTAAAACTATATGGTATACCAAATAGAGTTTTGACTAGGATTTTGAGAAAGGAAAGTGGTCATGTTAACGAATGGATCAGTTTCATGTACAATTTATGTTTGGCATCATTTATCAATTTTATTCCCCCAATCCCTTTTAATATAATTCTCATTTTCATTGATTTCTTAGATTTATCATACAGTGAAAGAACAGTATTGTTGACTGGATCACGGCTCAGACTCAATTTATTGTCCATAGTCATCATATCATAAAATAACTACACAACCTTGAGATATCCTCTATGCAGTCGTAATTTCCTCGTCTCTTTGTCAGATGGATAGTAAGATTTTCTATATATCCGGAACAGGTGCTAAGTCATTCCTGTTGCCGCGTGCATCTGGTGTTAGTTCGATAAACAAAGATTCAATTATCAATCTCTCCCTCCACCCTGTTATGTTAATTTTAAGAATTTTCATGCTGTCCCATCCTATTGTATGTTGTGTGTAATCGGATGTATAGCTATGGCTGAGCTTTTTTCTAAATTCCCTACCTTACTAGGATCTACCAATTTTGACCTAGGTTGGTTTGTGTGTTCCGATAGTCTAATCGACCCTGGTCGACTACTTTGATCTATGTATTTGACCTTGCAATCGATGCAAGGGATTTTGGTAAATTAAGTTACTCTGCTTAATAGGGTCAATAGGATCTTTTAGGCTACAAAGCTTACTTCGAAGTGAGTTTGTAGGTTTAAATGCCACTGTAATCCCAGCCAGCCTCATTGAGAATTCTACGTAGTGTTGTTGCTTGTATTACACCGTCGTTGATTGGACCGAACTGATCAGTCTCTGTTGGCATATGGGCTCCTATGCGGATGCCTCGATATTGCCTGCCTGACGAGTCCCAAATAGGACGAAATGCACATCCTGGATTCCACTGCTAGCCACTGCCCATCATTACTAAACATAATTCTACCTAGTGTTTCTAAGGTGCCTTATTTGTATGGTAATACTGTGGAGGTTTTAAATTCTCTATTCACAATATTGCCACCACTATTATTAACTTCATTATTACAAGACAACCAACACTCTGAGGAATGCTCTAGTCCACGTAAAAGATAGAGTTCCTTTCACCTCCACACATAATTGTGTCCACAAATTAGGCTGTGTCGATTATGATGCCTACTATATTCAAGAATCATCCTTGAGATCCTCATTGAAGTTAGAGAACATGTAAGCTACACAAAACGACCGCCAAATAATCCTGTAGAACTAGATAACTTACATATCAAGTCGGCGATTGCAGTTCACGCCATCTATCATAGTTACAAAAATCGATATTGAAAATATTAAAATTCTTCAAAAGGGATTTTTAAACTACAAAGAAAGAAGAATAGCAGAGGCATTTCACATTATGTTGAATCGTAATTCACTTGGATGACAGAAAGGAAGGCGTAACTATCCAATCAACTTGGACAGTAAGTATTTCCAAAAACAATACATCACATACACAATGATCTGATCAAAAGTACATACACACTAACGAACCGAACTTGTCATGCATCTTATCATTTATTTTTTCTGATACTTTCACCTTGAACTCCAGACTAATTAACTGATAAACAACGACAAATCATGAACGCTTCTTGACTAGTATAACGATGACATTCACGTTCATATTATCATCATGTATAGACGACAATGTGATCTGATTCATCACCTTTTACTATTTAAACTATAGATAACTTGTATAGGTTTTGTTCTTCGGAGAAACGATTTTCACGAAGTCGTGAAACGTCAGAAATTTGTTTTTTCTATTTCATTGAGATTTTACAAAGTATATTTCACTTATAATCCAATTATCCAATGCTCAACCTATTCAACTCTATCAGATGAAATTTTGATCCTGAAGTCTATAAAACTATTATTACTATTTCAAGTTGTTATTCATCGTAGACTGATATCAGTTGGAGGAACAAAGGAAACCTGGACAGCTGTTTCGTCCGATTAATATGGGACTCCTCAGCAGTGAGAGCCAACAACCCCGCGCCACCAGGGATGGAAGCCGCGACCTTCAGGTTCCATGGCCAGCACACTACCATTAAGCTAGCCACCGGGTCAGAATCCAGTCGTCAATATTTACAACTTCTGTTAGCTCACGATATACCACAACCGCCAGTCAATGTCATTGTTGAGTAACTGTCCTCACGACCATCAGGCTTTGCCTCCACCAGTCACGACCTCTCATTGGAAGTTGGGGAATACCCCTCAAAGCTAGTCACCAATGAGGACCAGTTCAATTGAATTTTGAAGGAGTTGTGGAGATCGGGAAATATTTCAGTTTGCTATTCATCGTAGACTGACATTAGTTGGACGCGAAGGTTGCGGGTTCGATCCCTGGCAGGGTTGTGAGCTAAGAGAAGTTGTAAATATGGACGACTGGATTCTGACCCGGTGGCTAGTTTAATGGTAGTGTGCTGGCCATGGAACCTGAAGGTCGTGGGTTAGATTCCTGGTGGTGTGGGGTCGTGGGTGCCCACTGCTGAGGAGTCCCACACTAGTCGGACGAAACAGCTGTCCAGTGCTCCCAGGTTTCCTTTGTTCCTCCAATTGATGTCATTCTACGATGAATAACAACTTAAAATATTTCCAAATCTCCACAACTCCCTCAATATAACTATTATTATTGTTACTATTATTACCACTATTGTTACTACTATTAAAAACTGTGTTACTGATATTTTTCTTAATTTAGGGGACGGGGGGTAAATTTTGTTGACTAAAGCGTCTTTAATGTATCTGGTTTCTTGTTTTAGATCTTCTGTTTTATGATTGCTAATCGAATCAACACCTAGTACACGTAGCAACAGGAATGACTCAGCATCTATTCCGGTATATAGAAAATCTTACTACCCATCTCAAAAAGAGACGAGGAAATTATGACTATGACGACTATAGACAATAAATTGTATCTAAAATGTAATCCAGTCAACAATACTGTTTCTTAATGATGGGCAGTACCTAGCATTACTATACATAGTTAAAAGATAGGCAATATCGAGGTATCCGTACAGGAGCCCATATGTCAACAGAGACTGATCAATTCGGTCCAGTCAACGACGATGTAATACAAGCAATAACACTAAATACTGTTTCTTCACTGTTCGATAAATCTAATAAATCAATAAAAAAGGAATCATACTTTAGTCTGGGAATTTTTGCTTCAAATGTGAGTGTGAAATTTTGAAAAATTGAATGAAGTAATAATGGAACCTGTGTTTACTTTCATTTTCAAATCCTCATTATCATTAGAAAGAAGATATAAATTTTTCTTTTCCAGGGTTTAGTTATGGTCATGTTAAATGTATCTAAACAATCTTTGAGTAAATTGATATCTTAACTAAATGAAAACATACAATGAAATGCTTATTGTAAATTGCTACATTATATTACCAACTAGTGTTTCTATGTCAAGATAAAGGTTTTGTATAATTAGTTATCGATAGAACCTGTACTGAATGATGGATGATAAATACGATTCTGACATCCTCAGAAGGGATATTATTTTGCTGAAGTGTTAAAAAGTATTTTTAAAGTGACAATTGTTAAAGCGTATAAGTCTAATGGTTATTTAACCAATAGTCATTCCTTTTAACAATCATCTAGGTTATAAGAAATCCTTTGTAACCAGATACCATGAATTAATGGTGTTCATTGCTTACTCAAATACATTTATACAGGTGTGTTTTAACACCCATTAAGTGATACTAAGATTTATCATTGATTGTCCATACATTTTATAGGAAAAGAGGCAAAACATATAACAAATTGGTACACAATTATCCTTTTTAAAATATAGATTTTAATGAAATTTCCAAAGTGCAACCAGAACTTCTCAGAAATTGAATCTCATAAATAAGCTGATGGACAGTGAAACGAGTAATTTAGAGACCACTAGTTTCAGTTATGGATAGTTCCTTAAGACCATTACTAGCTGGTATTTAGATGTCATATATAAATAATCTGGCTGGTGATCTCATTGTTAAAGTTTCGATTGACAAGAGATATATTGATGACGTCATAGTGGTTTGTAAGAAGCATAAAAATATCGCTTTCTCTACTAAAGAGACTTAATATTGTACAAACTCATATCAGCTTGTCTATTTCATCTACATTAATTAACCGATCATGATGTTTGTATAAACAATCTGAAAAAAGATAACTACAAAATCTCTTTTTATTTCATTTTATCAATTAACTCGATCTTAGAGAAAACCGATTGGGAAATCACTTGCCAGGCCAGGTTCTCCAGTAGACTACAAAAAGGAAACGATGAGTTGGGCGTCCAAGGTGAAGGTGACATGGAGTAGATGATATGAAGAAGAAATGAAAGCTTTTTGGTAGTCATAGAGAGAGGTTCAAAAGACTGCAGAGAAGAGAGTGAAATGGAGATGTGCTACTGAAGCCCTTTGTTCCACTAGGAACCCAAGGGACAAACAGTAATAATAATTAACTCGATTTGTTAATATATATACTGATTAATAAGTTTATATAATAAGAACATTATTTTGCTGTTCAAATTTATATCTTACCATCATCATATTTATAGTTGTATTCAGGACAAGGTTTGAAAAATTTTATTCTATCATTTCTATATTCTTTGGTCAATGTAACTAACAATATAAAATAAAAAGATAAGAGAAATTCTTTTAGAATGCATTTTTAATTATTCATCAAAGTGAACAATTTTTTTTTAATGTCTATATGTATACGGTTGGTGTTTAAATGTTAATGATTGGACATTGATCATTGATCATTGAACACTGAACATTGGAGATATACTAACATTAGGAATGATTCTATTGTAATATCAAGTAAAACTGATAGATAAGAATCATTTTAAAACAGAAATTTAGCTATTTATTTGAACACTTGGCTACCAAGAACTTTGCATTGAATATATATATTGTCAACTTGTTTCATTTATTACAAAATATCTTGAAAGCACATCATATACTCTCTGTCTTTTTAGTTATAAGATGCTTTCAGTGTATCATTTTACAAGATGAAAATAAAATGAAGAGAAAGAAATGTCACGGTTGTCGATAATGAACTTTCGAACATACAACATTATTATTATTATTATTATTATTAGTCCCTTGGGTTCCTAGTGGAACATAGGGCTTCAGTAGCACGCCTCCAGTGACCTCTGTTCTCTGAGATCTTTTGAACCTGGTCCCACGACAGCCCAGAAGCTCTCATTTCCTCCTCGCACGACCTCCTCCATGTCACCCTTGGACGTCCAACTCGTCGCTTCCCATGGGGATTCCACTCGAGGGCCTGACGCGTGATGTCCTCAGTCGGCCTTCTCAGTGCATGGCCAATCCATCTCCACTTCTTCCTGCATATTTGTTGCGTGATAGGTTCTTGGTTGGTTCGTTCCCAGAGTTCCTTGTTGCTTATTTTTTCTGGCCATCTGATCTTCAGCAGCGAGCGTAAGCAGTTGTTGATGAATGTCTGTAGTTTATTGGAAATACCTTTCGTGACGCGCCAAGTCTCTGAGCCATACAAGAGCACTGACTTGACGTTGGTGTTGAAAATCCGTATCTTGTTCCGCATGCTGAGTGCAGAAGATCTCCACACTGGTTTCAGGCTAATGAATGCCTGTCTTGCTTTTCCGATTCTGACTTTGACGTCCTCGTCCGTCCCGCCTGTAGTTGAAACAGTGCTTCCTAGATAAGTGAAGGAGGTTACTTCCTTCAAGTTTCTCCCGTTGACAGTGATTGGAGTTTGTTGTTGTTGTTGTTGATGGTGGTGGTGCGGTATCTTCATCACTTCTGTCTTCTCTATATTCACCTGAAGTCCCGTCTTCGCTGCCTCTTCTATCAACTTGTTAGTTTTTGCCTGCAGATCTTCAAGTTTATGTGACATTAGGCATAAGTCATCGGCGAAATCCAAGTCTTCTAGGTTCTTTTCCGTCGTCCAGTGTATCCCCCTCTTCTCGCTGCCTACTGTTTGCTGCATGATCCAGTCCACCACAATCAAGAATATCATGGGGGATAGTAGGCAACCTTGTTTCACTCCTGTCTTCACTTCAAAGGCATCACTGAGCTTCCCATTGTGGATTACTTGGCATGTGGCATCTTCATATAGTTGTTGAATGAGGCGGATAAAGGTTTGCGGCACTCCGTAGTATTGAAGCAGTTTCCAAATTACTTCTCGGTCGACGCTGTCAAAGGCCTTCTCAAAGTCGATGAAGTTGAGGTGGAGAGGTGATTGCCATTCTATGCTCTGTTCTATGATGATGCGAAGCGTTGCAATTTGGTCTGCACATGATTTGTACTTCCTGAAGCCTGCCTGTTCCGGTCGTAGTTTTGAATCCAGTGCATCCCTTAGCCTCTCCAGGATGATGCGGCTTAATATTTTACTTGGGGTGGACAGGAGAGTGATTCCGCGCCAGTTCTTGCAAGCACTGAGGTCTCCCTTCTTCGGCAGTTTGACAAGGTAACCCTTCTTCCAATCGTCAGGTACCTTCTCTTCCTTCCACACCTTCTGCAATAGTGGTGTGAGCATGTCCGCTGTTGTCTCTGCATCTGTTTTCAGTGCTTCTGGCGGTATTCCATCTGGTCCTGCTGCTTTCCCACATTTCAGTAGCTTTATGGCGTTCAGGACTTCCATTTTCGTTGGGGGATTAATGTTCACTTGTAATTCAGCGGCTGCAGGTGGTATTTCTGGACGAAGTGCAGGTGGTGGTCGATTCAAGAGCTTCTTGAAGTGGTCGGCCCATCGTTTCCTCTGTTTCTCTTCTTTTGTAATTAAATTTCCTTCTTCATCTTTTATTGGTTTCATCTGTGTTGGTCTCTTCCCTGACAGCAACCTGGTTATTTGATACAATGTCGTCAGGTCTCTCTTACCTGCAGCCTGTTCTGCTTCACTTGCCAGTGTTTCGTAGAAGTGTCTTTTGTCGTTGCGTGCACTCTTCTTCACTTCTTTGTCCAGTGTTTTATACATTGTGCTCAGTTCCTCTTGTCGTTGAGCATCCTTGCACTGGTTTATCTTCTGCTTCACCATCCTCCTCTCCTCTATCAGCTTCCAGGTATCCGTCGAGATCCATTCCTTGTCTTCTTTCTTCTTCCTTCCTAATACTGTTGTGCAGGTTTCTTTCCACATAGCTTTCAAAGACTTCCAGTGTTCTTCCACACAGGTTTCTTCAGGGATGTCCCTCGATGTCTCCCATTTTGTCTTGATGGCTGCCTTGAAGATCTCCTTTGTAGTTTCATCCTTCAGTTTCCGAGTGTTGTACTTGGGTTGAGGTCTATCACCAGCTTCCTTGAAGGCTTTTAACTTGATTTGGAAGGTTCCTTGCACTAGGTAGTGGTCTGAACCTACATCTGCTCCTCTTCTTGACCTTGTGTTAAGTAGACTGCGTCTCCATTTTCTTGAGATTGAGATAAAGTCGATTTGATTTTTAGTGTGTCCATCTGGTGAAATCCATGTCGCTTTGTGGATATCTTTGTGCCTGAACACACTGCCTCCAATCACCAAATCGTTGAATGCGCAGAATTCTGCAAACAATTCTCCATTCTCATTCATTTCACCTAGTGCCTCTCGACCCATGGTTAGTTCTCTTCCCGTGTTGTCCCCTCCCAGTTTGGCATTCATGTCGCCCATCAGAATTTTGATATCGCCAACTGACGTCTTGTCCAGTGTTGATTGAAGTTGTCTGTAGAAATCCTCCTTTTTCTCTTGCTCTGCATTATTTGTAGGTGCATAACATTGTATGATTGTGACCTTTCTTCCTTTTGAGTTGAATCTTGCTGTCATGATCCTGGAGGAGATTGGTTCCCACTGCATGAGAGCCTTCGATGCTCTTGAGGACATCATGATAGCCACTCCCTCAGTGTGCTCGTGGTTGGCGTCTGGGTGACCGGAGTAGATTATTGATTCTCCAGTTGACAGTTTGGAGAGTCCACTCCCATTCCATCTGCTTTCGCAAATCCCAAGCACTTCGATGTTATACCTTCTCATCTCCCTTGCAATCTGGGCTGCCTTACTGGGTTCAAACATCGTGCGGACATTCCATGTCCCCACGTTTACTTTCGCTTTCATCGAGAGAAGACACATCGGCCAATTGGCTTCCCGAAGGCTTTCACCAACTGGCGTCATTTCGCCTCTCCGATTCCAGCGGGGAATAAGTTTGTTTTCATTTTTTATATTTTGTTTGTGCTTTGAAGTTTCTTTAGCGGTTAGATTTGTTTTACGGGGTAGGGTTGCTAGCCCTATGCCCAACCTTCCCTCTTTACCCGGGCTTAGGACCGGCTAGTAACTAGTAAACTAGTTAACCAGGCGAGGTTACAACATTATATAACATTACTATTATTATTTATTGGGACTTGTAATCCTTCATTGTTATACTAAATTGAATCGATCGACTATTGTTGGTAAATACATTCCTGTGTAAATAAATACCTTAATATATCACTCATAGGGGTGTAGGTTATTCCGGCTGATGAGTGTCAAATACAACGAAATACGCTAATCACTACTAAGTCAGTTATGGTATTACTTATTCTAAAATAGTCAACATGGATTTTAGTTTATGCTTATTTTTAGACCAGAATACAACCTAACAACGGCTGATTGTTTCATGCTTTTACGTGTAATGTTGTTATTATTTTCGAACATTATACAGATATCATAACAATTTCGTTTGAAAATATTGTAAGGGGATGAAATTTGTTGCTCAGAATTTCATACTATGTCAAAAATATCATCTGAAGTAAAGTGATAGTTATTAGGGTCATCAAGAGGTACTTCATAATGATCCAACCTACGTTTTTGCACAGTAACCTAACTGTATCATCAGGATATTCATAAGCAGTCCTTAAGTAAGTGAAGTATTATATCCTAAGCCTAGTGATGGACTTAAATGGTCTTCTCCTCTAAGTATATTCTTTTTTCACTATCACCGTTGTACGCACTTATCTAAACCATAAATATTTATCAGCTTTTAGTTGATTGTAGGCAATCGATAGGTAACCCTGGAATAGGTTTTCATGCTTGTTGGTATTTGTTAGCACGGTGCATCTGCAACTTGACGAAGCTGATGTCCAAACACGCGGTCATATCATGATTGACAGATATTGGATGTTTGCTGAAGAGCGACCAATTTCTGAATGCAGACTGAATTCTATCGATCTGTGATAAAGTTACTGACTACAACACTGTATGACATGGATTCAAATTTCAGGCAAAATGTCAGTCTTATTCAAGGTTGACGAGTGTTAACAGGCGCGAAACCTAGGTTCGAGGTTTCCTGCTGATTGTAACCAATAAACTAGCATATACCAATGTGCAACATGATGCTAAGCATTTTAGCTTAGTAGCCACTTTGCAAATATGCTTGATACAATCCGGTCTGTACATAAAACTAGACAACATGAGATTGGTCGCTCTACCGTAATCAATCAATTTATACATTTGTCAGTTTTCTATTTGTAACAGTTATTATACACAAAAAGTGGGTGAGATATGGTGATCAGATTATTCTGTTAGTTTTTTATTATTCATATTATGGGAGGTAAAGTATAAGGCAAGTTGAACAACTCATCATTTCAATGTATACGACGTCAAATAATTGATAACAGCCGACAAGATTTGTTGAATACATAACGTTTCGTGTAAATGCCTTGATAATTAGGTATAAATATATTGAATAGAAGAAGTTTTCATATCTCGAAGCTTACGATGATGATAATAACGATGAGGCCTTGTCATACAATTGGATCTAGTCAATTTAATGAAACTTCTCAAATTTCAGTAGATAAACAAATCAAACGATTTTAGGAGACAAGAATAAGTAAAAGACAATTAAAGTACTACATTTTCAAAAACGTCGAATTCCACATAGCTTACAGTCGTTTACTTCAGGGTAATACCTATGTTGATCAAATTGCAACACTACACTACGCATCATCATAGAACAGAATATAGAATGGTAGTTAACTCTTTAACTCAACTTTATCGACTTAGAAAGGCCTTCGACAGTGTCTAGAGAGAAGTAATTTAGCAGTCGCTTCAACACTACTTAGTGCCACTAGTATTTATCAACCTCATTCAACAGTTATATGAAGACGCCACATGCTAAATGATCCACAATGGAAAGCTCAGTGATACCTTTAAAGTGAAGACATGGGAAAGACAAGGATGTCTACTATCACCCATCATCTTTCTGATGCATCATGCTGAAAACGATGAGGAGCGAGAAGAGGGGGATATGCTGGACCGGGGAAAAGATTCGGATATCGCCAACGTGGATGATTTCTGTCTAATGTCTTGTCACAAACTCGAAGATCTACAGGCGAAAGCTAACAAGTTGACACAAAAGGCAGAGCAGCGAAGACGAGACTTGAAGTGAATGTGGAGAAGACACAGGTGATGGAGATACCCAACCAACACCACCACCAACAACAACAAGCATGACTCACCATGAACGCGAGAAACCTGAAGGAAGTTATCTCTTTCACCTACCTACACACCTAGGCAGGCAGCATCATTTCAGCTACAGGCGGCACAGGCACAGATGAGGACGTCGAAGCAGCCGGGATCGGAAAAGCAACACAGGCGTTCACTAATCTGAAATAATCAGTGTGTAGATCTACTGCACTCCGCTCAGCATGTGGAACAGTATCCGGATCTTAAACACCAATTCAGTTAAGTCAGTGCTTCTACGTGATGGTCGGGAGAGTTGGTGCATTTCCAATAAACTACATATATTCACCAACCGGTACCGCCTACGCTCGATACTGAAGATCTGATCAGATGACCAGAATAATAAGAATAAGCAACAAGGAACTCTGGCCGGCTGTCTGGCAATGAACCAACCAAGAACCTATCACCTAACAAATATGCAGAAGAAGAGAGTGGAGATAGATTGGATTAGACATACACTGAGAAGGTCGAGTGGTGGCATCACGCGCCAGGCCAGACACTCGAATGGAATCTAAAGGGGAAACAACGAGTTGGGCGTTGGAGGCGAGGGTGATATGGGAGAGATCGTGTGGGGAAGAAATGAAAGGTTGTGGACAGTTGTAGACTGCAGAGAGCAGAGTGGAATGGAGGCATGCTACTGAAGCTGTATGTTCCACTAGGAACCCGATGGAAAAAAAATATAATAATATCTATGTTTATGTGAACTAATTGCTTAGCATTATAGCTCACTTTTATCACATATTCTATATATCTGAGAAGGTTCTTTTCTTGTCATACTGGATCTACTGAAAAATTACTAAAACTAGCTGTCTGTCATCAGCAAACAGTTTACACTAAATAAGTTATGAGTTTTATTAACACTGAAAAAATTACTCAATCAGTAGGATATTATATAAAAGTTTATATAACTAGTCACTAAGAAGACGGTTAGGGGACATTACGCTTTATGCCACGCCATCGAATGTAACCCAAATAGGAAACGATGAGTTGGGCATCCAGAGGCTAGGATGAGCAATGGTTGAGCCAGGTTGAAAAATCGACAGAAAAGAGAATAAAATGGCTATATGCTAGTGAAGTCCTATATTCCACTAGGAACCCAAGGGACAAATAATTATCATTAATATTATTACACAACGAATGAATAGTTTTCAGTTAAAAATTTGGTTAACAGAAGAAAAAAAAAAATGTATTTTCACTTACTATGTGCATTACTGTAATAAATAACTAGGATTCCTTCGAAAAGAATTAAAAATGAAATACTGTACATTAGTTGATTTTTTGTATTCAACAACATTTTATATACTTCACTGTATTAATTCTGTAACTGACAACTGTTTATATAGTGTATCTTGTGTGATATGTTAATTAGGGACATGTATATTGAATAGTTCATCCTTTTCTGTTTATTATTAGAAAAAAAGTAGGTTGGATGGATAGATTATGAAGGTAACAATCCAGTTGTTATTGTTATTCACATTTAGTAATTCTAGACCAATCATAATTCACTAAATAATTAGGAAATAATCTTAATTTTACACAACATACATTGGTTGGAATAGTGTCCAAAAGTAACTTTACTCTTGGAAAGATAAGAGACTGAACATACTTACTTCTCTTAGCCACAGAGATTAGGCTTGAATTAATGAATTGTCAGTGTCTCTGCCTACTCCTTTTGAGCTATCCCCTTTGACTTTATAAATGACACTGAAAGAGAACTTCGGTAGGAATATATGTCCAGAGATGATCACATGTTCAACAATTGAACTATTAACTGATTTACATTGTTTCTTGAACAACCTTGAAGGATAGTCTTCAGAGATACGTTTGGAAAGTGCTTACTTCGTGAAGTCTATATAACTAGCTCCACAGGAGGAAGTAAATTTGTAAACAAATATTGAGGTAAATCAAAGCGCCAACTTGTCCTTAATGCACTCTACAACCAATTACTGACTAAAGAAGTTGATCTGTAGCTTCATAGAGAAGAATGTCTTCTTCAGCAAGTTGAACAGCTGATTGCTTCAGGATCTCTATTGTCGTATCACTTTTCAGACCAATATTCATAAACAAGATCTCCTTTGAAAATTTATGTATTTGTTTTGTATTCTGTTTAAATTTCAAGTTCTTCCTAATAAATCTGGATTCGTATCCATTTCGCATGAAAATCTTCCTTAGTTTATCATCATCGATAATATCACTTGTGCAGATTTTGCTGATTCTTGAAGATGAAGAGTGGATCAGATTCTTATTTCTACTGAGAGGCATCCAGCTATAGAAATTCCCTTATTGTTCATTCCATGTAGGCTTCTAATAAATTGATTTTTAAAGAGAAACATCAGGATTCTGTTTCAATAGGACATTCAGAAAATGGAATTGTGAGTTCTCTTCAAATTTTGATGTAAAGCTTATCGATGGGTGCCAATCATCAAATTTTTTTAACTACAGTCCCAATATCTATATTCTTATCACATGCGATGAATGTATCATCCATTTATCTTTTATATAGGTAGAAACTATCAATTGTTGAATGCAGCACACTATTCTCTAGCTTCACCATAAAGCAATCAGTCAACAATGGTGCAAGTCGCAACGCCACAGCAACCCCATCCTCTTGTCTACATTTTGTCTATTGAATTTGAACTGCTTGTTGAAAGTACACCTTAGGAGCATTTCCTTTAAATAGTACTTTGGGATACTCACGTGGAAATTATTATCTTCGATGAAATCACATAGAAAACAGATAGTTTCCTTGAGTAGGATATTGATGAAGAGTGGGACCACATGTGGTGTCCCATAATAGGAACGAACAACCTTCCAATCCTCCTAGGTTGTCAGTGCCTCTCCAAATGATGAGAGCTTATGGGTTTTCCAGCCTTGTTCAAGCTCCCCGTGACTTTCGACACTTATAAAACCATATTTTTAAACATGATAATAGTCAAATTTACAGTAAATCTATGTTAAAATACGTCTGATTTCAGTTTGAGAATGAAATGGTCTATTGTATGTGTATGTCAACTATGACGATAAGCTGACCATTGATCATCGAATACAGTGAAACAAAATTAACTATAAAGTTCAAGGTCACATTGTGCTGGATGAGTGATTAGTACAGAGACTGATACCAATCCACCAGAAAGGTAGAAATACAGGAGATATCTCATCTTAAGTAGGACGCTATACTTCTACTAACCATAACCAATTAGAATATAGTATAGATTTGAGGCAATCGGCCCCACGTTCAAGTCCTAGTGGGAACAATATCGCTCATTAAGAGACAGTTGAATCCAGCTGATCAGTCCCAAATAGGAATAAATACCAAAAACATCATTCATATCAAAGTTTATCAGAATCAGAGAAAAATCCAGCTAAAATTGTCTCAAAAGAAAGAAAGGGAGCAAGAACAAGAGATAATAATATGGATAAAGGGAAAATACTTACTATCAGTGTGAATACCGGAGATACACGTGGTTTGCTAGTCACGTAAATTTCATACTTAGTGGTGATTGAAGTAAGAAATAGAAATGTAGGTAAACCAGAGACCTGAAGTTTACAGGCCCTGTACTCTACTAGCTAAGCTGTGAGATATAGCTTCTGACCAGTAGTAATCTGGCGGTCATCGGTTCCAATCTTGCTGCTACCCAGATTTAGATTTTACCCTCAGTCATCATACAGTTTCAATAATACGAATCTATTAAGCCACGCTTAAGTCATACTGATAGTCAGTATATGCTCGCCTTCTCTAATTCTGTTTGATTTCGATTGACAATAGAATTTGTTGGGCAGCTAGTGTGAATGTTATATATTCTCATTTAAACATCATAAATTCATAAGATAATCGTGAATAGTATTTACTCAATAAAAGATTAGGATAAGAGTATGACTTTAATTTATTTTTTGGAATCCAAAGTTGAGGTTTGGTTGATCATGTGATCATAGTTTCAGCTATATACAGAAAACATAAATATGTAGCACATTGGTAAAGTTTTGGGAACATAGTTTAGCACAGTAAAAGCTCACCAATCATCTATATGATATCTTGTAACTACCGGTTGTGATGGTACAGACCTTCTAAATGATTTGGCCTTCTTCTTTACAAACCAAATCGATAAATACTCTCATGTTGTGGAGATGAAGTGCCTTCGTTTTGAAAGGATACTAGTAAGCAATTATAGTTATGATTTATGTTTCTGTATTATGCCTATTCACTATCATTTAATCTAAGTACACAGTATACCATGAGGAAGGATTATTATTATTACTAGCGTATTATAATTAAATTACAACGTATAAAACACTGGAAAAAGGAGTGAAGAAGAGTGATCGAAAAGACAAAAGACACTTCTACAACGTACTTACAACTGAAGCAGAACAGGTTGCAGGTAGCGGAGACCTGACAGCATTGTATCAAATAACCAGGTTACTATCTGGGAGGGAAGAGATCAACACACATGAAACCAATGCAAGATAGTGAATGATAACTAGTTACTGCTAAAGAGGAGAAACAAAAGAAATGATGTGCTGACCACTTCAAAAAGCTCTTGAATCAACCACCACTACCACCACCACTTGCAACTCGTCCACAAATACCAACAGCAATGACAGAACTACCAGTGAATACAGGCCCTCCGACAAAAACAGAAGTCCTGAATGGCATAAAGTTGTTGAAAGCCGAGAAAGTAGCAAAACCAGATGAAATTCCACCAGAAGTACTGAAAACAGATGCAGAGATAACAGTGGACAAGCTCACACAACACACCAATATGGCAGAAGGCTTGCAAGGAAGGAAGGAAGAAAAGGTACATGTGTATTGATTGGAAGAAAGGCTACCTTGTCAAACTCCCGAAGAAGGGCCACCTAGGTCACCGCAACAACTGGCGAGGAATCATGCCCCTGTCAATGTCCACACCAAGCAAAATATTGTGCCGCATCATCCTGGAAAGACGAAAGGCTGAGATGGATTCAAAATAACGACCGGAACAGGCTGGATGGATGGATTCAAGAAGAACAAATCATGTGTGTATAAAATTGAAACAACATGCTACACATCATCACACAACAGAGCATAGAATGGCAGTCAACTCTCTATCTCAACTTCATCGACCATGAAAAGGCCTTCGATAGCGTCGAGAGAGAAGTAATTTGGAAACTGCTTCAATACTACGGTTTTAATGCAACAAACCTTGATCAATCTCATTCAACAGCAGCTATATGCTGTATGATGCTACATGCTGAGTGATTCACAATGGGGAGCTCAGTGATGCCTTTGAAGTGAAGACAGAAGTAGGACGAGGTTGATGCTTACTGTCACCGATCATCTTTTTGATTGTGGTCAACTGGATGATGTAACAGACAACCATGAGGATAAGAAGATGGGTATGCGGTGGCTGGACCTGATGAAAAACACCCTAGATGAAGATATGGATATCACAGATGATGATTTCTGTCTGATGTCTTGTCACACAAACTCGAAGATTTACAGGCGAAAACTAACAAGTTGACACATGAGGTAGGGCAGTGAAAACGGGACTTGAAGTGAATGTGGAGAAGACAGAGGTGATGAAGATACCCAACCAACACCAACAACAAGCATGACTCACCATGAACGGGAGAAACCTGAAGGAAGTTGTCTCTTTCACCTACCTACATACCTAGGCAGGCAGCATCATTTCAACAGCAATCCAGTAAGTGCTTCTATTTGGTAGTTGAGAGACCTGGTGTGTCACACAAAGCATTTCCGAGAAACTATAAACATTCGTCAATAGCTGCCTACACTCACTGGATACTGAAGATCAGGTGGATGGCCAGAAATAATAAGCAACAAGGAACTCTGGCAACTAATCAACCAAGAACCCATCGCTCATTAAATATGCAGAAGAAGAGAGTGGAGATGGATTGGGCATACACCGAGAAGATTGTTTGAGGACATCACACGTCAGGCTAGGCCATCCAGTGGAGCCTAGATGATAAACAACGAGTTGGGTGTTCGAGGCGAAGGTGACATAGAGGAGATTTTGTGAGGAAGAAATGAAAGCTTGTGGGCAGTGGTGGAGCCATGTTGAAAAGACTGGAGAGAAGAGAGTGGAATGGAGGCATGCTACTGAAGCCGTATGTTTCACTAGGAACCGAAGAGAAAAATAATAATTTACTATGATTAACTATATCTTACTTCATTAAAAATGATCCATGACCTTTAATACATGTTTTGATAAGAAATGCTATTTCTTTATTCAGTAATGCATAATTTCCCATTTAGACATTTTGGAAAACAAACAATGTGGGCGAAGAAACATTTTTTCCATTTAGTTCTTGATCATTAACTCTATACTAATATATAACATACTCAAAATGCAAAATAACATACCAATCTAGTAGTGAGAGTGATTTAATAACCCTT